GGGAAGCAGGGCCAGGACGATTAATCTTTCCATTTTAAAGATGAAGAAACTGAGGCCCAGAAAAGAGACAAGTTCCCTCAACAAGTTAGCGGAGAAATCCGTACTCATGCACTTCAGGGGACTTTAATTCAATCTCCTATGTTAGGATGGTCGCTGGTAGAGTTGATTTTGGTGTTTTAAAAGGTGAGTCCTGTTAATGATTATTGAGATTTGAATTGGGCCAGGTTCCGTACTAAGCTCTCCTTTAATCTTTAACACAACCTTGAGAGGTAGGTACAATTATTCTCCCGTCTCACAATGAAAGAAGTAAGACGCAGAGAGGTTAAGCAACTTCACTGAGGTCATGCAGTGGGGAAAGGCTGAAGTCGGAAAGTGAATCCAGGTCTGGCCAGAGGGTGTGTTTGTAACCATCACAATATTCCTTCTGTGTAAGTTACTGTGACATCCTGGCCCCCCATCTCAGCACTTCCTGTCATCCCAGCCTGCTCTGCCCTCCCTTGGCCATCATCATGGGTTAATCTGCATCAACGTTCCCTGACCCCCAGGTTGTCCCTTTTTCTAGGACATCTCAGGCCCTCTCTACCACATGACCTGTTTTAATGCCCTCACAGATGTCCTCGCTGTCTGCAATTGTCTTAGTTATTTCCTTGCTTGTTTGTATCTCCTGAACTAGAACACGTGAGCAGGGACCTTACGTGGCTTGTCCCCTGCTGTATCCCAGGACCTACAACAGTATTTCGGGCACAACGAACACTCAAAAATTTTAAAAAAGAGAGAGAGAAAGGCTCAATAAATCCCCCAAAAAAAAGAAAAAAAAGAAAGAAAGAGCGAGACACACACACAAGCCAGGCCTTCCGTCCAGGCCCGGCTAGGACAGCTCCTCGGCCGTTTGGGTCACTGAGACCCAGGCTCAGCCCTGGCGTGGCCATGCTGGTCTGGTGGCCGACATACTCCAAGCAGCCTTGGTCACACCAAGAAGCAGAACTTGCAGCCCCCGGAAGGCAATGACACCACTTGGGACCAGACGGTGCTTGGTGAGCTCGTGGGCCTTTCTGAGGTTCTCAACAGAAACAGATCCAAAGTCTGCTTTTGGTGACTTTGTATCTTTTGTAACTCTCCTTTAATAAATTTTCAGAAACGAAATTCATAGATAATATAATTTTCCTATGCACAATGTTTTTAGAAATTTGTATAAAGTTCAAACTATAATATAGAGGAAAATAAGAGGAAAGTAATTTATAATAAAAATAGTACATGTTTCCGTATGTGAGAGCTCAGGCTCGACTCCACAACAGAGCAGAAGGGCGCAGATGGTGACGCGAATCACTGGTGACGGAGAACCGTAAATGCAGACGCCGCGCTAAGTGTGGTGTCAGCAACTCAGCTTGCACCAGCCAGGCGGCCACCAAGAGGAGATTTTCTGAAACGGTGAATGATCCCTGGTAAAGTTCTAACGGAGACAAAGCCAAATTTTCCTAGGATTACATGGTAGTTTTATTCCTGGAAAATACAATATATTTTAAAACCATTCAAAAAAAATGTGGGTGAAATAGAGCTGGCTTCCAGGTCAGATAGTTATGAACAGGTTTCTTATGTATGTGGTTATCCAGAAAGACAGAGGAAAGTTGATAGACATACAGGACAATTCCTTGTTGTGTCAGACTGTCCTACACTTTGAGCGTCAAATGCCAGGGCCCCAATCTCGTGACAACCACAAACGGCCTCATAAATTTCCAAAATGTCCCCTAGAGAGCGCTAGCGCTCCGGTCGAGAACAGCTGCCCCGCACATTCTCCAGCGACCGGCTTTTTAACTGAACTCTGTCTTTGAGATTGTTCTACAGCGCGATGTGGCTCTGCATCCCTTTCAGGCTGCGTGGTGCTCGTCATATGGAGTTCGTCATATGGAGGTACTGTCATGCAATTCCCTTTTGATGGCATTCTGAAGGCCAAGTTAGTGTGTCATTTTGCACGTGCAAACCGATCAGAGGAGGATTTCTTAGAAGTAGGCTGGTTGGGTCACAGGGTTTCAGCATTTAGAATTTTGATAGTTATGGCCCCAAACTGCCTTCCACGGAGGTAGATTAATCCACATGCCCCCAGCAGAGCAGGAGAAAGCCTGTCCCCAGAGCTCTGCGAATCAGGCTGGAGGGGCGTGAGGAGGCAATTCTGGAAGGTCTTAGCCAGGATCCTTCCCCTCTGGGGGCCACCTCCTCAGACCACACCCAGGTTGCCCCCAGGAAGCCTTGGGTGTCCAGAAACTCACCAACCCACCTTCTCAGGCCCTGGGGAGGGTCCAGAGGCTTTTGCCCAGGTGGGCTGATCCTGGCTATTACATTTATTTTTTAACCTTCTCAAAAAGACAGCTTCATTGCTTTCTGATTCTGTAAGTAACGCATACGTATTTCAGAGAACAAAATCCCTTTCCCCACCAACTTTTTATTTTGAAAACTTTAAAAACTTTAGAAAAAATGGCAAGAAGAGTACAGTGAGCACCCATGTAACTTCCTTTGAGTCAGCAGTTGCTCACATTTCGCTACATTGACTTTATCTATTTCTACTGAACCATTTGAGACTAAGTTACAGACATTCACCCCTAAACACTTCAGCGTGCATTTCCTAAGAACAAGAACATTCTCCTACAAAACCACAGCATAGTTATCACACTCAAGAAATTAACATGGATAAAGTAATAATTAATTACGGGCAGCCCTAATTCGGTTTTCTCCAGCTGTCCCAATAAAGTTCTCTATAGCCTCCCTCCCCTCCCCGCCCTCGGGGTCCAATCAAAGACCTGACTTGGCCTTTAGCTTTGGGCCAGGAGTTTGGGTTTCTCCTCTGCGCTCAGTGGTCTTGCACCCCTGGGTCCTACCTCCAGGAAGGCAGCTCTAGGTGGGGACAGTGCTGGCCCTGAACTCACAGGTGCTGGTGGGGTGCACAGGAGGGACCTGAGCCCTACTTCAGCCCCATAAATGTCTTCCTAGGCCCTGAGGGTGCAGGCTGGAGGGGACATTGCCCCCGTCCCAGGGCTTGCCCTGGAAGAATTCAGCCTCACAATAAACTACCTTCTGTTTATGCCGCTCCCCCGGTGCCAGGCAAGGACTTGTCCGTCAGTCTCCACGACACCCCTGGTGGCTGGTACTATTTTCTCCGCTTTTACAGTTGAAAGGAGGAGTTTCTGTCTTTCCATCTGATGAGGACGGAAACATGAGGCCACAGGGGGCCACATGCTGCCTCTGGAGTGGCCAGTGGGTGTGTGGTCGGTGTGAACTTCAGCTGAGTCAGCCAGGACAGTGGCCGCCTCCTCCTCAGGCCTCCAGGCAGCTCCTCTGGGCAGGTGCGTCCAGCCGGGGCTCCGGAGCTTCATGGGCATCTCAGGGTCTGGCTCCACCTGCAGCCGCCATGATCATCCTTGAGAGCTGCCCCTGCCAGCTTCGCAGTGCCTCGTTGCCGCAGATCACCCCTCTCGTCCACCCAGACAGCTGCCACCACACTGGGCTGTGGTCATGCCAGAGAGGCCCCCAGGGTTTTAAGCCTCAAAGCATTCACATGTGCGGGAAGGCCCATGATCCACTCAGTTCCGGGTCCCTGACAGGGGCCACATAACCATTTGTCAACTCTTCACGTGGCTTTCACAGATGCGACTTTTGCTAAGAGTCTGTAAGCAAGGCAGGACAGGTGACATCGTCCTTATTTTCAGATAAGGAAATGGAGGTGTAGCGACAAATCTGCAAGGCATCTTATTGCAAGAAGAAAACCAGAAATAGAGTGCAAGCCCCTCATTCCACTGTGGGGGAAACTGAGGCTCAGAGGTCCCCAGGTTTGATTCCTGGCTGTGGTGCTTTGTAACTGTGTGATCTTGGGTCTAGGGAGGAAGGGGTAAGGAGTTATTACTATCTATGTCTGCAGCAAGAGACAGAGGTAGGACTAGAATCTGGTTGCTCAAAAGGCCCTTTCCAGAACTTTCTGTGCCACAGGTCCTGGGGGGCAATCAATAATAGTAATAATAGTAATAGTCATTGAGTGCTTGCCGCATGTCAGACAGGGTCTAAGCACTTTGCAGCTGTTAAGTCATTACACCCTCCCACAATTGCTGTGAGTAGGTGCATTATTATCACCATCAGCTCATTTCATAAATGGGGAAACTAAGGCTTAGAGGCATGAAGATCCTTGCTAGACGTCCCACAGCTGCTGCTGGAGGCAGCCGGATGGAGCCAGGGCCCTACCTCCCAGGCCTCTGATCTCCAGGCCGGTAAGAGTGCTGCCCCGCACGCTGTGTTTCTTGGAGTTGTTGGGGCCTGAGGCCTGAAGAGAGGAAACCTTGGCAGCTGAGCGGGTCACCCCAGGGAGCAGAACACCGGGTTGAGAACAGGGTGGGGTGGGAGCTTCTCTGGACTCAGGCAGGTCGGGGGTTGAATTCTGGCTCTTCCGTTTGAGTGATCTTGGTGCAACTTGACCTCTGGGGCCTCCGTTTTCTCACTTGTAAAATGGGAGATTGCGTGGGAGAAGTGTGGGTTCTACTCCGCGCTAGGAGTCATTACACACAAGGAACTCAGTTTCCTCCTCTGTAACATGGGGAGGGTAATCTCTTGGCTGTTGGCTGTGAAGTCGTTCGGCAAACCATAACTTTGAGGCTTTAAAGAACCTTAATAGAGGCTGGGTTCTCTCCTTAACTTATAAAAACCAGTTTATAAAATGACTTTGTGTCATTTCAGACTTCAGCTTGGTATGGGAAGGGAATGCAAAGGGCGCCTTCTCTCGGGCCCTTAAACCAAGGGGTCAAAGATTGCACTCCCTCCGCCCCCAAATTCGGGCTTTTCCAGCGGTGGCGAGCCGCAAAGCCCTTTCTCAGGGAAAGCTGATGGTTGGCCCCTTGGCATCCACGTGCTAACCCGCTGAGCGCCGGCTGGCGGGGCGGCTCCCAGCCCGGCCGCGACCATTCCGGGCGTGAGGGGCGGGGAGGCTTGTGATGTTAAAGCCACGGCCTACCCTTCTTAAAGGCGCAGGCTCGCACCCTCTGGTCCTTTTTTCCGTGTTAGGACAAAAAGTCAAGACGGCACGAAAGTTTTAAAGGCGAGGTAGGTGGTGTGGTCTGGGTACGAGACTGGCCCGGGAAGAGCTGTATCTCCTTGAGAAGCGGGATCAGAGACGTCAGCGCAGGATTTAAGCCCACCTGTACCGGGGAGGCAGCCCGGTGCAGGCGAGAAGTACCTGGCCGGTTCGAATTCTGGGTTCTTAACTTCGAGTCTCAGTTTCATCTTCTGTAAAATGGGGTCAATAATAATCTACTTCTAAAAGCTTTGAGAGTAAGAAGAAAGAACAATGTGAGCATAACCAACACGAAAATGTCGGTCCCCTTCTCCCCTACTCAGTCCTCCCACTGAGCGAAGGAGGAATCCGAGGGCTAGAGCGGTATAGTAAGTCACCCAAGGTCACGCAGCAGCGGTGGGACGGAGCCCACGTGGAGCCCGATTGGACCTGGGTCTCCCGACTCCCGGGCCAGCCTTTTCTCTCCATCCAGCCTGCCTAGCCGGGTTACCGCTCATCTAACTCCACTGCCCACACCCGCACGGTACCCTGCAATTTGTCACGTGGTTTTGGAGCTGCGCGTCAAGCTGACTATCCGCAAAATGGGGGTGATGCTAATTCCTGTTTGATACGGTCGCCACGAACGAAGTTGTGAAACCTGAGCAAGGAGCCCGGCGGGTTAGTGTTTGCCATCACTATCTGATCGTCCCGCGGCCCAGGAAGAGCTGATCCAAACCCCCGCCGCCACGCAGACGAGGACACTGAGGAAGAGGTCGAGACTGCGTTACCCGCGCTGGTCTGCAAAGTTAGTGGGAGCGCCGGGACGCCGGGGAGCTGGGGGGGGAGGGGGTGTTGTGACAGCACGCTGTCAAATGCGGTGCTGTCGCTAGCTCACGCGCCACGCGGAGACGAGCGACCTCGGCGCACAAGCCCGGCGGGGCACCGGCAGCGCGAGTTCGGGGCGAACGGCCGGTTGAGGCGCGGGGCGGTCCGGAAGGAGGCGGCGAGTGGGCGGGGCCGGCGTCACTCCGGGCTTGCGGCCGGTCGGCCCGCGGGGGGCGGGGCCTCGCGGCGCGGTCCCGGGGGCGGGGCGGCCTCGGCAGCCTGCGGAGTCGGCCTCGCTGCGAAGCGGGCGCGCGCGGAGCCTGCACCGGCCGCGGAGCCGCTATGGGCCCGCCCGGCCCCGGGCACCGGGCTGCGCCAGCGCCGGCCTAGAGCCAGGTGGGCGGGGCGGGGCCGCGGCTGGGCGCCCGGCTGGGGGCGGAGGCCGGAGTCGGGTCTCTGGGGCTCCCGGGGAACCTGGGCCGGGGCTGGGCTAGGGGCCCCGGGTCGCGGGCCGTCGGGCCCACCTAGTCGGCCTCACCGGGCGCCCGGTGCGCGCGGGGCGGAGCAGGGAGGGTCGCCGAACGGCTAGGGGAGATCCTGCCTCCCCGTCCCTTCTTCCCGCCCTCTCGGCCCAGCCCTCGGCCTGTATTTTGGTGAGAGAGCAGGGAGACGGTCCTTCCCGTCCAGGCCCGGGGCCTGGCGCCTCCGGCCTCGGGAGGAGGGATGCGGGGCGGGCCGGGACCCCAGCCTGCCGTCCCGAGAACGCCGACCGACCCTTTGCCGCCATCTGCTTTCTTTACGCGTCTCCCTCCCTGCCCGGCCCCCTCTCTCCCCGCCCGGTGAGTGGGGCTCGCTGTGCCCTCCTCGGGGCTGCTGCCGGAGTGGGGGGCGCAGGCGGCGGCTTAGACGTTTGATCTTTGGGCCCCCGGGGCCAAACCGGGCGCCTGCCCTGAGGAGGTTCCTAGTGAGCCTGTGTGGCGCGGGTGAGGGGAGGCAGCGGGCCGTTACTGCCCGTTCATCGATGGGCGACCACCCCAGCTTCCCTCCTAACTGCTCCCGGGGTGGTCTCGGGAGGGCACCGCCCCTCTCTGAGCCTCTGTTTCCCCGTTGGCAAAGCGGAGCCGACAGTAGCCGCTTTGAAAGGTTGTGAGGATCGCTTAGCTCAGACTCGGTGAGTGGATGGGGTGAGGGTCGGTCAAGTCCCAGAGTGTCCCCGCCTCATTTGTCGCCGGCCCGCCGACTCCCGTTGTGTGAGTTGTCGTTCCAGTTGACTGAGGTTTGTTTTTCAGAATTGAAGCTACAAAATGGCTGACCAGGACCCGGGGGGCATTAGCCCCCTCCAGCAAATGGTGGCCTCAGGCGCTGGGGCTGTGGTCACCTCTCTCTTCAGTAAGAACTGGGGAGGTGGGGCGGGGGCAGCTGGGGACTGGGGCAGACCAGAGATCGAAGGTGACTTGGTTCTGGAGGAGGGGTTGGCTGGGGTCCTGGAAGGAGCCGTCAGACCTGCCCTCCTCCCCCAGTGACACCCCTGGATGTGGTGAAGGTCCGCCTGCAGTCCCAGCGCCCCCCGGTGGCCAGCGGTAAGTGCCGGACCCTGGAGCCAGTAGGGGGTGGTTCCTGGGCAAAACAACGGTCTCCCAGAGGTGGGGTCCCTGGGGCAGGGGGGGCTCTCCTGACCTGAGGGGCTGCCTTGTATTTTAGAGCTGATTCCTCTCTCCAGACTCTGGAGCCTCTCCTTCGCCAAATGTGAGTGCCCCAAGCCCCAGGGACCCTGGGAGGGTCCGGGGAAGGGAGTGTCCCAGTCTTGCCAGAGCACCTGTGGGCCCTACAGCCACCGACTAGCACACACCTTCAGGTCATAGCAGCTGGCTCTTTGTCCTGCACAAGAATGTCTACCCAGGGACCCCAGCCTCTGCTGGCCCTCCAGGGATGGGAGCTCACCTGTTCCCTGCAAAGTTCCGGGACCTTGTCATACTAACGCTCCTCCCCTTTCCCAGTGCCCTCCTCTCTCCAATCTACAGGGAAGTGTCTCCTGTACTGCAATGGTGTTCTGGAGCCCCTGTACCTGTGCCCAAATGGTACCCGCTGTACCACCTGGTTTCAGGACCCCACTCGCTTCACTGGCACCATGGTGAGCAGCAGCTGTGCCTTCAGCTGAGTCTGTAGGCACTTCTGAGGGATTCAGATTAGCTGGGCAGCCGACCCAGGGAAGAATGGGTGGTAACAAACCTGTAAGGGTGGTCATATCTGTTTGCGAAGGGTTTCCCTGAGGAGGTGGTGCTTTTATGAGGTTCTGAAGGGTGAATAGGAGTCCACCTGAAGCAAAATGTAGAATTGCTTTTGTGGAGGCCTCAGGGGCTGCTGCTTCTCGGCAGGACCCAGGGCTGTGGGGAGAGGTGATGGCATCAGCCTAGTGTCCAGCCTTGTTCACGTTCATCTTTTCTCCTCCTGGGCCCGTATCTGTTTGGCCAGGATGCTTTTGTGAAGATTGTGAGACACGAGGGCATCAGGACCCTGTGGAGCGGCCTCCCAGCCACCCTGTGAGTACCCCAGTCTTGCATATTGTCTTCCCCCAGTACCCCGCTGATCCCTTGCTGCCCTGTTGGCTGGCTGGCAGGGGGGGCTGTGGAGGCCTGGGAGGTTCGGCAATCTTTGGGAGTCCTAGCTAACCTCTGTTCATACTCTCAGGGTGATGACTGTCCCAGCCACTGCAATCTACTTCACTGCCTATGACCAACTCAAGGCCTTCCTTTGTGGTCGAGCCCTGACCTCTGACCTCTACGCACCCATGGTGGCTGGCGCACTGGCCCGCTGTGAGCATGGCATTCGGCCCTTGATCTCTCTCTGACCCCACCTGTGCCTGAGCCCAGCTGGGAGCTGGCTGCCAGCTCCAACCTCTGCCAGCTTAGGGGTGGGGGGAGTCTTGGGCCCCCATACCCTGGGGTGGGTTGCCATTGGGACCTGTGAGCTGACCCCTCCCCACTGTTCCCCTCAGTGGGCACCGTGACTATCATCAGTCCCCTGGAGCTGGTACGAACAAAGTTGCAGGCTCAGCATGTCTCATACCGGGAGCTGGGTGCCTGTGTCCAAGCTGCTGTGGCTCAGGGCGGCTGGCGCTCACTGTGGCTTGGCTGGGGTCCCACTGCCCTTCGTGATGTGCCCTTCTCAGGTAAGCACCAGAGGTGCAGGGAGTGGGGTAAGGGAGCCCTTGGATGACACACAAGAGGTCTGTAGCCAAGTCCCACCCTTGCTACTGGTGATGTTAAAGTCAGTTAACTTCTCTGAGCCTTGACTATCTCGTCAGTGAAACAGGTCCAGCCAGCAGGGTATTCACCTAGGTTTTCAGGAGATAAGTCCTGCAGAGGACCTGTTAGAGAAACTGTTAGAGAGCAGGCAGGCCTCATTACTGGAAGGGAGTGGTTGTGCTGTAGGTCAGTGGAAGATGGGAGGTCTGGGGACCACCCACTGCCCTCCCCATCTCTAATGAGTGTACTCCTGTGCCCCCAAGCCCTGTACTGGTTCAACTATGAGCTGGTGAAGAGCTGGCTGAGTGGATCCAGGTCAAAAGATCAGACATCTGTGGGTGTCAGCTTTGTGGCTGGCGGCATCTCAGGGACGGTGAGTTGACCAGGTTGAGGGTGAGGCTAGCAGAGGTGTCCTTGGGGGCCTGAGGGTTGTTGGAAATGCTCCAGAGAAGAGTCCTCGCATTGTGTTGCACGGGCTGACTGTCAAGGAGCACCCCCCCCCACCAAGTGAAGCTGTAGCTGAGGCTGGCAGACTCTAGCTGGACCTGAGGGACGGGGGTCGTGGAGTGGAGACAGCCCTCTCCCCACCCTACCAGGTGGCCGCTATCCTGACTCTGCCCTTTGACGTGGTGAAGACTCAGCGCCAGGTTGCACTGGGAGCGGTGGAGGCTGTGAGAGGTGAGGGGCCTGGCTGGTGGGGGGGCGGGCAGGGGTCCAAGTGGGATCTTACGGGGGGCCATGTCTTGCCTTTGCAGTGACACCCCCTCACGCAGACTCCACCTGGCTGCTGCTGCGGAAGATCTGTGCGGAGTCAGGCACCAGGGGACTCTTTGCAGGTGAGTGTCTGTGTGTGTCCGTGCCCTGGCGTGCTTGGGGCCTCCTGGAACCCTGACCCCTGACCCCAGCCTCCCCCTCCCACTGCAGGCTTCCTCCCGAGGATCATCAAGGCCGCTCCTTCCTGTGCTATCATGATCAGCACTTACGAGTTTGGCAAAAGCTTCTGCCAGAGGCTCAACCGGGACCAGCCTCTGGGCTCTTGAAAAGGACGGGGTGGCCCTCATCTCTTCCATGGGTGGGGGCGGGGCAGGAGACTGAGTCAAGTGCCTTGTCCTCAGCACTGAGGAGAGGGGCCTCATTTCCCTTCCCCAGGGGTAGGAGGCTGCCCCTCTGGGCCCACCCAGGCCCCCCTCATTCCTGCTGCTCCTCATTCACAAGCCCCAAGAATCATCACTTTTCCACCCCCCTAAATTCAAGACCAAATCTGCTAACTGCCCCTCCCCATGTCCCTTTGTATTTGCTGTAGCTGGGCCTGCCCCCAGGAGCCACAAAACCCTGGGCCTGGCATAGTCTGCATCTGCCCCTGTTAATTCCTTGAGTCTAAAAATGATGAACTTCTCTCCAGTGCCTGTGACTGCGGGGGTGCAGGGTGGCTGGGAAAAGCGAGACTTGGTGAGTGAGTTGCAGAGGAGGCCTGGGAGGGGCCTTGATGTTGGCTTTGGCTGCCCAGGTGGCACCCATGTGGAGGACCCCCTCCAACTTAGAGCCGGGTCAGCGTGAGGACAGAGTTGAGGGGGCGACAGGCAGCATCCCAGTAGTGCTGGGACCAGGGCGGAGGATGGTGAGGCCTCTCCCCAAGGGCACACTTGAGGGACAGCAGAGGGAGGGAGGGTTGCCTCACTGCTAGGCCTTGGCGTAACGGAGGGCTTTCCAACTTTATGCCAAAGCTGATTTGCCCAGGACGATGGAAGGAAAACAGGGCCCTGCCCAGGCTTGCCTCCATCCTGCCCCCAACATGTCCAGGGTCTTCTCTGCCTGAACTTAAGCAAGTTATTAAAGAGTATCAGGTGGAAGGGACACTTAGGTGTCTTGGTCCTGGGCAGACCTAATATTTAGGAGACTTCACGTAAAAGCTGCCCACTCCCTGGTTCTGATCCATTTGCCTCCCCCGGGTGCACACAGGTTCTGTCTGGTCCAGCATCACTTGGTTATGGTCCTGGCACTGGCTCCACCGCATTTTGCCAGCCTCAGGACAGGGCCCTGTCCCAGCCCCCCACAGACAAGGCTGCCCTCAGTCCTCTGGTTTTTATTTGCCTGGTCCCCTCAGAGCCCCAACCCTGGGGGCTGAGGAAGGAGTGACTCCAGGGGACACACGGGGACAGACAAGAGAGGCATGGGAGGTGAGGGTGCCAAGGCTGGGCCACCAGCTCCTGAGGACAGTGGGGGAGATGAGCGAAGGAGAGTCCAGTACAAAGCCAGTAGGTGTCAGGGTGACCAGAAGAGTGGAACAGGCTTCCCCATGTGCTCCCCGAGACCTCGGTGCCCTGCTTCCTGGACCAGGTGGCTTCCTTTTGCAGCCCCAGCCTCCTTGGGCAGGAAGCTACCATAGGAAGAAGCAACGGGGGTCTTTCCCAAGAGAACCCTGGCTGGGTGGGCAGCGTTCTCTGGAAGGGTGGCCTGGGTTGAGGGACTCTGAGGAAAGGCAACAGGTGTCTGTGCCCCAGCAGGTGGGGCTGGCACTGCCCACGCCGCTCCTCAACTGGGGCTCAGTGCCGGGCTGCCTTCGGGACTGTCGCTCACCAGGCACTCGTTGGATTTGAAGCTCGCCAGGGACTTGCAGCTGGGGATGGAGGCCAGGGAGCCGCAGAGGCCCAGCATGGAGGGCGTGGGGTCCTTCCCTGGGGAGAGAGGGCGGGTGAGGCCGGGCCAACCTGCCTGCATGTGTGTGAGTTGGGGGGGTGGTGCACAGGCGCAGGCAGGGAAGGGGCACCCTCAGGTCACCCCCAGGTGACTTTCCTCATTTCTGGAGCATTTGCCATTTTCAGTTTAACCTTGATAAGCATCTGCCCCTGCCATGCACGGTGCTGGGGACACTGTATTGTAATCGTCAGCTTATGTCTCTGTCTCCCCTGAGGTTCATCCTCTCTCTTTGTCCATTTATTAAACACACGGTGAGCACTTGTTCCGTTCCAGGAACTGGGGATACAGAGAACGGACGAGACACGGTCCCTGCCCTCACGGAGCTCACAGTCTGGTGGGGAGACAGACACACGGACAGTCACAAACACAGTGTGGTGGGGTTACACGTCCATAGCCTGCCTCGTCTCAAAGAAGATCTAGGGTCATCCAGGACTGGATTTTAGAAAGAAAAGACAGGAAGGCCAAGCACTGGGAAAACTAGGGTGGGAAGCCCCAGCGAAGCCAGGGGGAGGGCAACACAAAATGCATGCGGTGAAGTCCTGGACATTCGCTTGAAGGGAGCCTCTAATTTGGCTCTGAGCTTCCTGGCAGCCAAAGAAAAGGGGGAAACAAAGGTCAGGCGAGCGGTTAATAGAGTGCATGAGAAAAAAGCAAATTAGTTAGGCGAAGAACTCCCCGAGAATTCATGAGCCCTTCAAGGATGTCATGATACCAAAAAGCCATTAGCCCTCACCATATGCCACACCTGTGATTATTTTAATCAACATCCCCATCTGCAGATGAGAAGGGCTCAGCAAGGCCAAGTGATTGACCAAGCTCGCGTAACCAGAGGGGGTGCAGCTGGGATTCTCACAGGGTCTGCCCGACACCCCAAACCAAGCTCTTAATTGCTGTGCTAAGCTCTCTGAAGGGCTGAGACAATGAGGGGATTGGTCAGGGCCTGACTAGAGGCCCCAAGGCCTGGCCTCAGCCCTTCCTAGTGGGGTGCTGGGTGCTGGATTGGAGGGCTCACCGATAGGGCCCCAGGGCTCCTCATCCCGCTTGCCCTCTCCCAGGCGCTGGGAATCCGAGCTCAGACTGGCTTCAGCTGACAGCGGCTCCGTACTCATGAAACTGTGTCTGTGGCAGAGCAGAGAGCTGGTGTAGGGGTGGAGGTCCCCCCCAGTGCCCCTCTTCCCCTGCTGAGCCTAGCTTGGGCTTACCTCCGGTAAAGCTTGGGGTTGTTGGCACCCTCGGCCCCACTGAGCGTTCCCAGTGATGGCCATTGGTTGACCAGGGCCGTGGTGAGCTCCTTCGAACCATGGGCCAGGGGAGCGTGGTCACCGGGGATCAGACCTGTCCTGGGATGGGGAGGGGGGGTCAGGCCTGGCTGGGAGAGGAAGCAGAAGTGGGGAAGAGGGGCACAGCAAGGGGTTGAGGGAGGAGTTAGGAATGAAACCTGAGTAGCAGAAATGGGGACAGAATGTGGAGGATCAGTGGGGCAGACCCTGGGAGTCAGTGGAGGGTACTGGGGGTCAGAGGGGTGACGGGTTGGTGCATTCATGTTGAGGGTTAGATGCAATAATGGGGTGTTGTAGGAGTCAGGGTGTTGGAGTCGGGGGAGAATATGCAGGAATCTTGCAGGGTAATGGGGTGTCTTGGGGGATCATGCTGGGAGGTCATAGGATGATGGAGTTTAGGGGGAGCTTTTGGAGGGATGGGTAGGGGTGAGGTCAGGGGTCATCATGAGTGATGACAGTCAGTGGGCCTATGTTGCAGATCAGAAGGATGTTGAACAGATGGAATAATGCACTCATGTTGAAGGTCATTGAGTAACATTACAGGTCTTTGCGAGTAATGTTGGGGTCTCTTGGATAATGTCCGATGGCCATTCTAGCTGATGTCGGGTGATTGAGGGTGAAGTGGGGAGCTGGTGGGGGGGTCACTGGATCTTAGCTGAGAATAATGTTAGAAGGTCACTGGGGCATATTGGGGTGGAAGTGACCCGATCAGTGGTTTGATGCTGGCGGCTGCTTGAGACGGATGCCAGTATCAGGAAAGGTGATGTTACAGTCAGTGGGGGCGATGGTGGGGGTCCCCTGGGGTGCTGTGGTCGGAGTGGCCGGGGTCAGGGGTCAGGGCGGCGGCGGCGCTCACAGCTGCTCCTGCAGCTCCAGGATCACGCCTTCCAGCTCCCGCTTCTCGCGCTGGTTCTGCGCCGCCGCCTCCTCCAGCTGCAGCTGCAGCCGCCGGTTCTCCGCCTCCAGGTCCTTCAGTTGCGACTCGCGCAGACGCACCAGCTCCTCCAGGTAGCCCTGCGGGGCGCCGGCTCAGCCCGGGCGGCGGGAGGAGGTGGCCCGGCGGCCGCCCCACCCCGCGCCCGCGCCCCGCCACCCTCGCCGCGCACCGCGCACCTTCTGCGCGTAGACGATACGGAACTTCTGTTCCATCTTGTGCCACTTGCTGTACCAGCTGTCCTCGTCGGTGACGAGCGGCAGGTACGGGTGCTCAGGAGAGTTGTCCTCGCTTGTGCTGCTCTCGGCGCTGTGCCGCTCCTCTTCGTCCGTCAGGTAGTCGTAGCTGGGGGAGAGAGAGCAGTGGGCACCGCCGGGCCTGCCCCCCGGCGGGCCCCACACCAACCCCCTTGGGCAGGGGGACCAGGAGGCCCGGCCAGCCTGCCTCCCTCCCGCCATCCCCGCCCCACAGGGCGGTGGTCTGTCCGCACCCACCGCAACAATGGGCTGCTCACCTCTGGGTGAACTTTAGGTAGGGCGTGTAGTCGATGACCACGGGGGTCTTCCCGTCCAGCACTTCGCCCTTTAGGCAGAAGCTGGCGGCAGAGGAACCACAGGGTTAAGGCCGGTCTAAGAGTTGTGGACATTAGCGGAGAAACAGCCCTCCCCGCACCGCGCCACCACCACCCAGATGTCACCTGAAGTCTATGGCGCTCAGTCCGATCAGCATCCCTGTGAGGACCGTGGCTTCCTCCCGCAGCATGATGGCTCCCGAGTCGTAGAAACGCCTGTGGGGAGCGGGCGACCGATGGTACAGCCTCTTCCCAGGGAGCCCCCACGAGCCAGGACCTCTCTGGTTGGCTTACAACAAACCTTTCCTAGAGGGAGGAGGGAACTCTTTCCTGGTCACCCCTCAGCTGTGGAGCTTGTCTCCCCCACAGACTGGGGCCCAGTGGGGACCCCGCCTGTATCCCCCACCTATTAGAACACATGCCCCTGAGAACAGACTCTTTTCCATCCTCTGAACTACCCCTGCCTGCCAAGTACTGGGTCACCCAGATCCTTAAAATCAGGAAACGAGTTCTAATCATTAGTGCTTGGCATACAGTAGGTGCTCAAAAATATGGTGATGTGAACTCTGCAATGTGAGGACAGACTAGAGATGGGATGCAGGAGAACATCAGGTGGGTGTGACCCCTGGTGGGGGAGGCACAGTGTACTTAGCTTCAAACACGCCGTCCCCCTCTGGCACGTCCTGTCTGTGACCTGCTGCCAGGACCCAATCTGTCTGCAAACCCTGAGTACAGGGACTGAAGCTCTGCATGCTAAGACTCTAGTCGTGGGTAGCAAGTGCAGACTGCCACCATTGTTGGGGGAGGAGTTAGGGCAGTGTGTTGTAGGTCATGGAACAAGGCCAACAAGAAAAACGATACATAGTTGAGGCTTGTCCAGAGGTGTGTCTAAGGGTAGAATTGTGTATGAGACCAGT